GAGAGAGAGAGAGAGAGAGAGAGAGAGAGAGAGAGAGAGAGACAGAGAGAGAGAGAGAGAGGGGGGGGGGTAAGTATTACGAACAATAAAAATTTAAAAAAAGAAAAAAAAGATGTTAATTAAATCAAATAAGACATAAATGGATCTTAGCATAAGCTTCTCTGTTAAATATCTTTTCTTAAAAATAATGCTCTGGTGAAATTGAAAGCATTGCGCCATTGCCTCTTTATCGATTAATGTGTAATATGCGAAGTATTTTGTAAATACATGTAATTACGTATGCATATATGTACATATCCGTATATATTTGAGTATATAGGTAAGTTTTAGGCGGTAAGTTTCAGCCGCTGGTTCCAAATCTCCATGATTGTTCAACATATTCGATGCATTATCTTCTCGACATCAAAATTTCGACTGAGAGATTACCATGCCAGATATTAAATAACTAATTCATATCACTTATCGTGCAACACAAGAAAATTATTTTTCATTCTTATAAATATAAAAGAATTATTATATGTTTAAAAAAAATTAATTTTTTCTGCTAACAAGTTTTATTCCTTTAATCTTTCGAGCGGAACGGATTATGCAAATTTCCTCATTCGTATACACACAATATAAAATTAATTTTCCAATAATGTACCCTTTACTCCGCGTTCGCCTTTGCTCGAAAATTATATAATGTAATTTTTAGAATAACAAATTTGTTATTATTCGCGCTGCGTCAGCGGACATTCAACGGAAATTATATATGTCGTGAGAAGATTTTAAATTCTGAGACGTGTTCTAAGAATAAAAAGCATCGTCCGTAAGTGTGTTTAATTACCATGTGATTTATAATTGTTATTTTATGATTGGTCGTGGGATATTTACTGAGTGTTACAAGAGAAAGGAACGTACAAGTCGTTTGATCGCAGTTCCGCAGCCCATGGCAGATTGACGGGCGAAATAACAAAGATGCACGATAATTGGCGGCAATCGTAGAAGGATTAATATTTCGATTTTTCTCACACAGTTACGCATATTGTATAGATACGCCTATTGTTTGCTCGTCCATACATTGTAACCCGGTTGACTCGTGCGATAGCGTTCATGCGAAAATCCTGGGAAGGGCATAATCTGGGATTATCGATTCGGAGCATGCTACAGTTTGGAAATCTATATAGTAATACATTAAGATATGAAATCTGATATTTAATATCAGGTAAGAGCTATTTTAATGACAGTGAAGTTGAAGAGGTGGGATATAGTTCGTCATAGTGTTTCAATATACCTTTTGCACTCCCTTTTGCACAACTCTCATGTAATTGAAGAATAGATAAAATCGAACACCATAATGCTAAGCGTTCAAATCTGGGAAAGTCGTATAGTAAGGCAATAACTAACTTTTAGTAAGCTAGATTTCATATCGGTATTTGTAACATTTAAAATTGTATGAAATTTATCTAAAATAAAAATATAAAATATTATTACTCTATTGAAAAACTTTTATCCAGGTTATTTTTATTCGTACTTCTTGTGTGATAAAAATATCAATTTCTGAAATAAATCTCTTGTATTAGTATTTGTAATTTAACTACATTAAAGCTTATATTATTCTTATCGTTTTGAGTACTTCATTTTATTAAATTCCAGGTAGAGAACTAGGACTTAATATCGATGTAATATCGACAAATGAGATAAGATGTACGTATATGAAATTTAATTGAACAGATGCGACATACATCCTATTCTTATTAAATTCGTTAGATTTCGCTATTTAAAACTAAAACTAAAATTTAATTGATATTGATATGCCCCAGTCGATCATTAAGTGAGGAATTGGGAAATAGGTTTCGCGATTTTTTATGCAGTGCAATTGTAGCCTATAAAAATCGTTGTTTGCAAGTAAAATAAGTACATGTGATCTGGTTCGATTGGTCCCCGAACTTCAGTTTGTAAATTACTTGTGCGGTCGCGTGATGATGTTACAAATTTAAAACATTAAAAGATAGAAACCGCATTGATTTGGATTATAATGATATGTACAACTTTATTCACTATCTTCATTTACCCTGTAATTACAAATAATGCTATGATGTCTATAAAATTTTTTTCGTAAAATGTGGTTAAACAATTAATTGTCGCAAATAAAGAGAAAAGTATCATATTAAAGTCTTTTCTTTGACCAATAAAATAGTAAGTGCAGCAATATTTTAGGTCTTGATGTTCGATCTTCAAGATTTAAGATATAAATAACATTAGAATTATTGCTAAACTAATTTTAGCATTTCCATCCGGTTTCAATAATAAATTTATTTTGAGTAATAAAACGAATTTTCGTTTATTTACTCGGAATATTTAGTTAAGATATTATTTATTATTCCAAATGAGATTTAGATTTAGTTTTTAAAATTGTACAACATTTTAGTTTGCAATGTGCAATGCATGTAGAAGAAGCAAAAATCGAAATGAGAGATTGTAACAAATGTGGAAGATTATAAACCGGCTTTATAAACCGACAGTTATCCTAAACAATAAGGCAAGATGAATAAATAAATAAATAAGTAATGAAATAAAACAAATTACGTAAATTTAACGCATGCGTTAGCTATACATTCTAATTACTTATCAATGATATCAAGAGATGAAATGTTTGATTTATAATCACGATTTTATAATCGTAGCTCCTCCTTTCTATGACGATTGGTCCAGAAACGCGAAGTTGAGAAAGATATCGATAGCGACGAGGCACGTGCTTCGCGTAACAACAATAATAAAAAGAAACTGTGCGACTCTCTAAAATTGACCCGATAAAGCTTTGTCTTGCAGAATGCTCCGGATAATCCCTGACAATACAGGGAATTGTTCTCGCGCGAGAATATGTTGCACGCATCATTACACAATTGTTCCCACGTTGCAATGAACCCTGATAAGCGATAAAGCCGAAGGATAAAAAAAATCTTCTCGATATTTCTCTCCCTTCGTAGAGACGGAACCTCGCAGCTTACCCGCAATTAAGTTCCTTATCAAGGGGATATCATCGCGCTTTCGAGTGCCGTTTAAGTGAAAGAATATTCGCAGTCGCGTATAGATACCTGGAAGTAACGATTTCTTCCAAACCCTCGCTTAACTCGTAAATGTATATATAATCAATATATAGCTGACTTAATTACACGTGGAGATGGATTAATCATGTCTTCTTACATATCTTCTTAGCGTAAAATGTGTGAGATTGTTAAACTCTCTACTATTAACATCGCTAATTTTCCCTTATTTATTACTCTCCTTGTCATCATGTGTCACAAACGTTGATACACGTATAATAAGCTTTCATGCGACATACGACGAGCTTGGCCTAAAGGAGACACTCGATCGATAATCGAGAGAATGCTGTTATAAAGTCTCCTACGCATTCATGAAAATTAATCTAACGGCTCGACTCGCGAAGAATCAGAATACAATTCGAGCTTTCAGGCATCATCTGTGCGTGGAGAACTTTCGCACGCGCAAGTCTTAAATCGTCGTTTGGAAGAGACATGTGTGTGCAATGCGAAAATAAATTGATTTTATGAGCAGTAAGCGCACACCTGGCATGTGCATCAGGATGCTTCGGATCAGCCGCGCTTTTTCCTCTACGATCGAAGAATTGCGCGGCTGTAGGTCCAAGACACATTCCGTGTGTTCGCTGTACGATGATGTGATATTGCAAGTGGTAGAGGTGTATAATTTCGAGTACTCGCAACTGCACATTTATCTTTACTACTGAGGAGATAAGATAAGCAAACTTGTCCTCGAGTTCATCCTGAGATTACCACTTTGAAGGCGTTAAGCTATCCATGGGCTAGAAATGTGCGTATCACAGACGTTTCGATCTGTATAAGTTTTGATAGCGCGGAATTATTTAGAATTAAATTTTTAATGTTTGTTCTTGCTCCTGATTTTTAATAATATCCAAAATTAGTAAAATCATACACACGTGTGACTAATATTGAGATATTCCTTGGAATCATCAAATATAATATCGATGTGTATACGACTTTGGCAATGCTTTTCGAATATACGAATCTATATTCGCTGGTTAAAAATGTCAAGTTAACCCTTCGTTATTCGCATGTCCAAGACACTTTTGCATTATAAATGTTTTACATTGTAAATGTTATTTATAAACATTATTATATTAGTGCAAATTATTTATAAAAAGATTTGCATTTATTTTTCTAGAGAATGTATAAATTCATTTAATTGTAAATCATTAAAGAAAACAATAAAAATTGAGATATAATGTCAGAAATACTTCCCACAAATAATTACGTTTAAAAATATATGAGTAAACTATATCCACTGCAGATTATGTGGTCCCTTCGTAGATAAAAAAAATATGGAGATATGTATACGTTTATTCGAGTGATATAATAGTAAAGATTTTAATATAATGATTTTGTCAATTACAGATTTTTTCTTGCAAGTTAATATCTTTTATACGATTTAATATCAGATATTTGGATAATGCGACAAGATAATAGATATGAAAATAATTTATGAGATTTTATTATTCTGAACGTATCTGTTTCGTATTCATCAGTTAAACTGCGACATTTATAACCAGTTTTATGATTCGCTTCTGATTGATGTATAATACTTTATGTTACTGCTGAAGTTACAATTGCTAAGATAAAATATTTTATGATATAGTTTTTATAGTTTCCCGAGAGAAATCTGATCAAAGTTTATATTAAAGATATTGAAAATAAGCTTAAAGAAGTGA